GGGAAATGTACTGCAACTAAGCCGAATTCATCGTGACTGCAAAGTGAGTCTTAGCATAGTCTTCACCACGCTATGTTCCTTGTCTAAAACATTTTCAGGGTGTGTCATTACCAGATGCTGATGCACATCATTACATCACAATGAGAACGTTACTAGATTCCATTCTCAACATACAATGGGAACCAAACAGACTTTCTTCCCCACAAGGCTGCCTACTCAATGTATCAAATACCCTTAAAGATGTTTTAGACAAAACATAAATCCAATCAGCATGAGCTGAACCCATGTTATGTAGATTTCATGTATTTAACACAAATGTACAATGCTGACACTAGGTCAGTTCATAACTGTAATAATTATTGGTCAAAATATGCTTTAAACTGTTAAGTACACTGTTGTCATGCAAGAGTATATGATTACATTCGAGTTACAAAATATATGAACTTTTAATTTTGTTAGACATGATGATAATCCCAATTTCATTGAACTGACCATATATGTAACATATCAACGAAATTCCTATTTGTTACAATGAAAACTCCAAGAAGTTCAATTTCATAAAGCATGCAGATCATATACCAGGGCATCATACAATGAGCTTAATGGGCCATGCAAAGCACAGCTTTTCCACTATGTGCAATCATTACATCATTTTCCACTCTGACAGTCAGCAACAGCAGTCAGAGGAAGTAGATACTTTCTCAGTGCATTTGCTTGCATGACTAGTGCTAGATTTCCACTGTGAAGAACATGGAGAAGTTTACATTACAGTATCAAATGTTTTTGCATGAGTTTTATGTAAAGTGTAACTCTACTAGGAAGAGTCATATGAAATGTTCGAGCTCCTTGCAGAAACACTCTTTAGAATCTTATAAATAAAGTAAAAATAACTGTTAACAGACAGTAAACCAAAACATCAATGTCAAGCCTTAAGAGAAGAAAAGTTGGACAAAATTGGAGCTCTGCTTGACCTCTTGTCTTGCAAGTATTTTTCAAGTGCCACACACAAGAAGTGGAAGCAACAAAACAAATCATGACAGCTGCTGCAAAATTATTTAGACTATGGCTTTACAAAACCACATCTGTGCACTCTTTGCAGCCACAATCCAGTAACCAGACTTAATTTCTGTAACTGCTGCTTTCAATCAGTTCCTGACAGTGAACTACATCCCTAGTTGAAAGATTTGGTTTTATTTTAATGGACATGTGACTACACAAAATAACACACACTGGAGGACAAAATACCCACATTCTACACAGAAAATTCCATTCCATAAAGTAAAAATTCATGTCTATTGTGCCTTACGTGCAAGGAGGATAACTGGCCTTGTGTTTTATGCAAAAACAAATAATTATTAGAGATGTATTAAGGAGACAGTGCAGCTGTATTTCAAGCAACTGAGAGAAGAAAAAGAGGTTCTGCTAATGTACACACAGCCAAACATTCCACGCAGACCTTGAACAGAGTGCTTGAAGAAAGCATAATAAATCATATCAATCTCCCAGCACCGATAGTGTGATTTCTTCATGTGTGGACAATTGAAAGATAAAGTATATTGAACCAATCCATGTCTGGGATAGGAACTCAGAAAAAAAAACCCTCAAGTGTTTCAAATATCCAGAGAACAACTACCCCGACAGGAAGAATCTGTTTAGAGGATTCAGAGAATATATCAAAGTCACTGAAGCTACAGCACCTTCACCATGACCACAGCTGTTTCAGCAGAAAATACAGCCACTAACAGCATTTGCATACAGCAGAAAGGCTGTCTCCCTGCATGTGACTGTCATGATGATGTGGGCATGACAGGATATATATATTTCAAGTAACTATGGCTCATGCTGTACTATGATGAAACTGTTATGATGCATTTTTCAATATACACTACACAGATTAAACAAACACTCAGTTTTCTGCTGAAGTGGCAAATAAATGCAGTCTGTTATAGGACACTGTCTTTGGAAATTTTCATTTATTTGGATAAGAATGGCCAACATCTGAAGAAAATTCATCCATAACCATATCAGATCAGTGCCACATGACTTTATAACCCCATTAAACTCAGATCAATTTTATATTAACAATACTACACCTGTTTGTTAAATAGACTGATTAATTAAGAAACTGCCAAAATAATGAAAACAAGGTAACAAAATTACAAAACATGTTTGTAAGAATGTAAGATTTGAGGTTTTCACAGCGGTGACTATGAAGAAAGCTGTCTTGTGGGATGTGGCGCCATGTAGAAATTGTGTTACCCAACATTTCGGAGGAACGTATCGCCTCCATCTTCAGGGTAGAAGACAAGAAGAAATCCACGAGCGAACAAGCAGAGCAGGTGCAACAGACTGAGTCCAGTCAAGTAAACACAGCTGTATAAGAGAAGGGGAGAAGGAGTGTGGCTACATGGGGAAACAGCAGAGAGGGGGAGGGGAAGGGTCTGGTGGAATGGCGAGCAGGTAGTGGGCCAGAGCTGGTATAGAGTATGTGTTAGGGGGAGAGAAGGGAAGGTTAAATGGAGGGCATTAATCCTGTAGCTCAGGGGGCTGCGATCAACCTCTCTCTCACACACAACAGGAAGTCAAGTATGAAACTACAGAAGAAAGCGGTTAAACGTGGTTCTCAACAGAAACTGTGGAAATGAACATACAGACTTATACAACCCAGAATTTCTGGGAATACATTATGCAAAAATGTTGATTTTGGGGACAGATATGCTTTTCTTTTCTCTGAAGTTTTTTGGTTAACTTTTGTTTTTGGCTTATATTTTATTCAATTATTAAATGGGTCCATAAATTTTACCTAGCAAATCTTATCAAGGTAGCTACAAAAAAGTTCCATTGTAATTCATAGAAACCTTAGTCTAAGAAAGAAACAAACAAAACATATATTTTCTGTGACAGAATAATCCATTGCTAGACAATGGCTTGTTAAAACATGTTTCCAGGACAAGTTGGAAGAGTCCATTGGAGAGCAATGCTCGGTAAACACTGCCTAAAAATAGTGGCACTATATACAAAATTACCCATTTTGCTATTTCATAGCATATTTCATGCATATTTCATAGATAACACATTCATATAGAGCAGTAGTTAAACCCTTGGAAGTGGTGATCTACGTTCGGTTTTCTGACAGTTATAAAAGGGAGTTCATTCGTGAATTCAAGGGTAGTAGATAGTGGTGAGAGATTCTTCACAGACATTGTCAAACAGATGCCAATCAGAAGGAGTTCAATTTGTGAGGTGTTATTGATGAGTGCAATTGTAAAGAAGTGCCAATGAACCCAATCATCAAATCCAGAACCCATTATTATTAGTCACACCAACCCCAAATATGACATTTTGGTGTCAGAATTGGTTGGATCTGATCGATTGCAGCAAATTGTTGGCTTTAAGATTGTATCATGTAGTTACAGTGACAACAAAAATGGACAACATGGAGCTCCTAAAAGCCATTAAAGAAATGATGGATGCCAGTCTAACACAAATAAAAGAAGACATAAAAGCAAAAATATATACAGGGCTACTATAAATGATTCATTCGTTTTTAAAACGCTATATTTTCCAAAGTATTATACGTACAAATATGATTGATATATAAAAAGAACCATAAACTCACCGAGTTTGTATTGTGTGCACCAGTTGGCAGCACAAGTTCAGTGCCTTTACAAAATGGTGACAAAGCAAGAAGAGAGTTTTTGTTTGTTTGAATATGCGCATTCAAAAGAGAGTACGGAAAAGAACCGCCACGTAAACAAAGCATTTTGCGGTGGTATCGGCAATGTTCGTCTCTACCTAAACAATGAATTTTGGCATCGCTGGATTGGGCATGTTGGTGAGGATGACACAGCTCTGTTCACTTGGCCCCCCAGATCACCTGATCTAATGCCTTGTGACTTCTTCCTTTGGGGGTACATTAAGGATCGTGTTCACGTACTCCCACTGCCAAGAACACTAGTAGAGCTGAGGGAATGCATTGATGCTGCAGTGATGACCACTGACAGGATGATGCTACAAAATGTGTGGAACGAGCTCGACTACCGCCTGGACGCGTGTCGTGTGACCCAAGGGGCACACATAGAACATTTGTAGAGTGCGAAGAAAACTTGGCGAGTTTACGGTCATTTTTATATATCAATTATATGCTTTGGAAAATACAGCGTTTCAAAAACGAATGAATCATTTATAGTAGCCCTGTATAATCGGTACAACAAAAATAAAAATAAATTTCAAGAACCAAACAACAGAATTTCCCAATAACAATAACTTAAAAACATAACATAAACTCATGAAGGTCTCACACTGTTTCATAAATTATACAGTATCCTTTAAATTCCATGTGACTTAAATGTGTCAATTCAGAAAGATGGGAGAAGACGCATGCGCACATTCAACACCAAACTGTCCGATCTTTTCTTATGAAATGTTATATTTTCTGTTAATTTATTCTTTTATGGGCAATGATATCCTGTTGTAGACTGCAGTACACACAAGAAACACTACAAACTGACATTGAAATCTTAGTTATAAATAAACTCTAAACAAGTACCAGATTGCTTCTAACTGTACAATTGGTAACTGTGAAATCACCCTAATAAATAAGATACTGGAACATCCTGGGGAAGTGGAAGAACACAGGAAATGAACGCAAAAATACTGTTGAGTACTATTCACACAGCATGTTATCAAGCTGAATTATGATCATATAACTTCTAGGACAAAGACTGAGGTAAAGTGTCATTTATAAAATGTAAGAGAATCTCTAACGACAGCATTCTAAATGCTTATACCCAGCTCTCTAATCTGAACTCATACTTTGCAATACAAAAAAAAAATAACCCTTATATTCATGCCTTGGTTTCCCAGATATAAGAAGCACACGAGTACTAAATAAATTAAAGAACACTGAACCCACATATTTCACATTTCATCCCAGACAAAGAATCCATATCTTCCATACTCTCATCCCTAGTCAAAGTCATTTAAATCCCATTACTCACGAGTCCTCCTTTGATTCCGTTAGCTTTAACAGCACCAGGCACCTCTTCATCAGGACCTGCAATGAAATCCTAGTACTTTAACTCCTGCAGCATGTAGTACCATACATATGGAACAATGAGCAGCAGAATCTCAAAGCAGTGGGTCCACTTAGCATTTTCAGAGATAAACCATTTATTTACTGTGGAATGACCAATAATTTTGCAGAATAAAATAACAACAAAAATTGGAGGTACAATGAAGGGACAAATATAACATCCTTCCAAAGTCTTCACAATTCTGTATACAATAATAAAAAACAGTTCTTAAAGTCTTCAGAAATCTCTTCAACTGTCACAATCTTGTTATTTGTAGTATCTTCAACTGGTTCAAAACCACATCCACTATGAATTTGCAGAATAAAACAAAGTCATTATGAGCACAGTCAGAATATAGTCAGCTATTCAACTGAAATAATGCACAATGAGGTCAGATTAATTTCCTGGTCAGGCACAATGTACTTGCAAACTCTCTTGCTGAAATACCAGTAACCTGATCAAAGGTGTGCTCCTTTCCAGTAAAAATGCATGTTCCTGACTTAATGTTTTTACTGCGGATTACAATTCTGTACAATTTTCCCAACCTTAATACATAATTGCTTTAAAAGTTTACAGTCATCTTTATAACATGTCAAGCCACCACAGAACAAAACAGACTGTAAGCATTATCTCTTACAATTTTGCCCATGCTGAGCCACATGAAGGCTTTACACGGATGTATAACTTCCTGCGGTGCCACATACCTCTCCCCCCCACCCCACCACCACCATCATCAAAAAAATACAGCCCAAACAAAATCTTACACAAACGATATACTTAAGAATATGCTTTTCACAGCGTGTCTCCTAATAATACGGATATTCCAGTTAGCCTTGAAACTTTGTTGTCCTAGCAATGAAATCCCTTTCCTCAAAAGAAAACACGTGAAGATTTTACAGTAAATAAAAAGTGAAACTGTAGTATTGGTTACCTTGTAATGCATGACAGAATTTCTTGGTAGTAGTCCATTCTTCACGCAATGAAAGATTGAACATGGAGTATAATGGATTGCCAGTCACTTCTTCCACAATAGTAAGGAACTGCGGCAAACTTTTCTGAACACTGCTGTCTTCTGAACTGGTATATGTTTCCAGCAGAATCAACCCTTTACACCTAGAAAATCAACCATTTTCCTAAGTGGATTATAAAGGAGTTCTACACAAGCATTCACAAAGGTAACTACAACCCACATTTTCATTATATGCTGATACTTTTGTAAAAACTCAAACAATCAACAATGAAAATTAATATGTGCAAAAGAATAAATTATATGCATAACCCTTCCTGCATCATGTAAAACACAATTCTTCTCCAGAGATTTTCCTCGACTTCTTGTTTCAGATGCATTATGCGACCACCTTCTCACTTCCCTGATGTACATGATATATATAGTTTGCCATTCAGTTTTACTTTCCTCTTACGTTAATTCCTGCAAATGATATTAGATGGCAGGAGTTGTTCTTTTACAATGCTCGACTGATATAACTGAAAAATGTAACAAAATTTGAAGCTGACAAAAGAAAAAAAAAAGAGGTTTAGGTAATTTGGTAACATGGGAAGCATTAATACAGATGCTTTTAAAGCAAAATCACAAAAGGCCTTAGATAGTACAGTCAAATTCAGGGACCAAGACCAGAGCTCCTAAGTAAGAAACAGGAGTGCTAATCACCTGTCCACATTGTCTGGTATACTCTTCATCATAATAACCTGTTCAAAAAGTTTACCATTTACAGTTCAGTTCATTCTGGACAGAAGAAGGGTGAAGAATGCAGCAAAGTAATATTTTCTGACATCTGAGATTCTCACAGAGGTGACCAGAAACAGGATGCCATGCAGTCGGGTGGAAATGCACCGACATTTCAGAGGTATGCACTGCCTCCACCTTCTGGGGCAGAAAGTAATCCACACAAGAAACTAGCAAGCACCGACAAGAGTCCCTTACCTCTTTCACCCTGATGATGGGGGCAGTACCATCTTCCAAAAAGTTTGAAAACTTGTACTGGACTACAAGGCATCACATCCCAAAAAACAACACTTCCATAGCAACTGTTTGCAAAGCAACCTGTCTACAAGAAAATTACAATGGTTATTTAACTTGACAATTAAAAGGCTGATAATACATACCTAGGATGACAAGGTTCTCTGTAAATGTCCAGTTGAAAGTATTGATTTTTAACAAGAAAGCATCGCCTCTTCTTGAAGATTGTGAAATGAGAATCATCCTTCTGAGCAAGCATGTTCAAGTAGTCTCGATGTGTGAGTTGAGTTCTCACTTCCACCACTTGATTGCGGATCTTTGGCTTACGAATAGTGTGAATATAGCTCCAATGACCTGAATAAACCGATCAAATATGTCAGCCATTCTCCGCATGTGGAACCAAAGAATTGTACAGATGTGTTTACCCTTTTGGCAGAATGGTGGAGTTCAACCCAACATGAAAGAAAATTTCAAATGAAGTTTGCAAATACAGAAGTTGATTCTGTTCCCAGATAAATTTGTAATCCAGAACTGCAATCCAAAACAGTGATTTTCAAAACATACTGCAACTTCGAAAAGATATTAATTTACATTACAGTGACCCTTTTCAAGAAGGAATTAAAACTATCCAAAATATATGGCCACAAAAATAATGTATTTAATTCTTGACCAAAACGTTTCCCACATAGGTACATATCCACAACTTTGAACATTTAATATATTTTTGTGAGATTATGTTATAAGAACAAATGATGAGACAAAGCAGATTTCTTACAAATCAACACTCTGCAAGTGAGCAGCAGAAGTCAGAAGAACCAGTGGGAACTTTCAGACAAAGGCCTGTGTAGTGCCGTTTCTACTATTATTCTTTCTTCTGCCCAACAGAGGCTGGTCTCTCTGTCCTAACTTATACAAGCAGTGAATGTGTGTGATGAATCCTCAAGCGACTACACTCCACACTCACAGATGACATAAACATACACACCCTCACAAAAAGTGGAACATACAAGGAGTGCCGCACTACATCTACACTTCATTATATAACTTTAAAAGTTTTAATAACATTTTAACAAAATAATTGGTAATAAAAACGTTTTACACATACAGCCCTCACAATCTAATTGAAATTTGGCACAGTTCAGATATTTGGGAACAACGATAACAGATCAAAACCTGATTCAGGAGGAAATTAAGAGGTGACTGAACTTGGGTAATGCTTGCTACCATTCAGTCCAGAACCTTTTGGCTTCTCGTCTGTTGTCAAAAACATAAAAATTAGAATATACAAAACTATCATTTTGCCTCTGGTTCTGCATGGGTGTGAAACTTTGTCTCTGACATTAAGGGAGGAACATAGACTGAGGGTGAAAACAGGGTGTTGAGGAGAATATTTGGACCAAAGAGAGATGAAGTGACAGGGGCTGGAGAAAACTGCATAATGAGGAGCTTCATAACTTGTACTGTTCTCCAAGTATAATTAGAATGATCAAGTCAAGGAGGATGAGGTGGGCAGGTCATGTAGCACGAATGGGGGAGACGAGTAATGCGTATAGGATATTGGTGGGAAAGCCAGAAGGAAAGAGACCACAGGGAAGACCAAGACGTATGTGGGTGGACAATATTAGAATGGATCTTAGAGAGAGAGGATGGGATGGTATGGATTGGATAGATCTGGCTCAGGATAGGGACCAGTGGAGGGCTCTTGTGAACACGGTGATGAACCTTCAAGTTCCATAAAATGCTGAAAAATTCTTGAGTAGCTGCAGAATTGGTGGCTCCTCCAGAAGGGCATGAGTAAGTAAGTAAGTATAACAATTTCCTTAGGTCATATATACTTGATGATGGCCCATGTTGCAAAAACATGATTTCATAAGAAAACATGGACCTGGAGGTGTTTCTGCCAGGAACCATGAAACTGTATCAAAAACTGTGTTATGCATGTATATAACATGAGCCCTTTATATCTGTATTCTGTTCTTTTCCCCAAAGAGTCCACATTTCAAATTATAGGGACTCATATGAGCCGTGCTAGAGCAATGGCTCCTTCCGTGACGTAATGGCCATATCTCCCATGCTACCCTTCACCCGAGGTCCTAGAACTTACCCCCTCCTCTTCTTCCCAAATACCACGTGATTTTCCCACCCTTTCTACCCCTGTGTCTCGGAAAGAAGTATGTTTGGGAGCAGAGGGTTAGTCTGATAAGTGGATCCACTTGGGTAAGCATGTCTGCAGACCAGCCAGGGATGTAAGATTTGAGGCTTTTACGGCGGTGACTATGAAGAAAGCAGTCTTCTGGGATTTGGCACCTGTATATATGGTGTTAACCGACGTTTCGGAGGAACGTATCGCCTCCATCTTCAGGGTAGAAGAAAAAATATAAGAAATCTGCAAGCAAAGAGACCGTGAGAACCGGTAAAAGCAGACTGGTGTTGGAAATATACACAGCTATGTGAGAGCAGAGAAGGAAGGGGGGAAGGGCAAGTATACAAGTGAAAACAGTAGTGTGGGAAGGGGGGAAAGGAGCTGGGACAAGCATGGTTTTTGTNGGGATATGACGCCAGATCCAGAAGGCCACACAGGCCACGACCAACCAACATAACAACCCCCCTCCCTTCAGCTTATGGATTAGTGCCCAGCCTTTAACCTTGCCTTTCTCTCCCCCAACACAAAAACCATGCTTGTCCCAGCTCCTTTCTCCCCCCCCTCCCACACTACTGTTTTCACTTGTATACTTGCCCTTCCCCCTTCCTTCTCTGCTCTCACATAGCTGTGTATATTTCCAACACCAGTCTGCTTTTACCAGTTCTCACGGTCTCTTTGCTTGCAGATTTCTTATATTTTTTCTTCTACCCTGAAGATGGAGGCGATACGTTCCTCCGAAACGTCGGTTAACACCACATATACAGGTGCCAAATCCCAGAAGACTGCTTTCTTCACAGCCATGGATATTTTCTAAATTTCAGTTCAGAGGGGTGTTGTTTCAAGATTGTTTCGGCATACTCTGGGTCTGGCTGCAGACGTTGGGGTTTACAGTCGCCAGCTATCGAGGGGATGGTGTGGCGGCGACACAAGAGTTAGTTTTTTATATAAATATATTATTTTCTTGAGGCCACCTGTGACTGAGGTTTGCTTAGCCTGTATTATATAGACATGTAATTTCTTGATGCTGCCTGTGGCTGACCAGTTCAATTTAGTCATTCTATGTATTTGTCTTGATGCCGCATGTGGCTAGGAAGGAAGTGACTTGTATTCAAATGCCACTGGGCCAGTGAAACTGGGCAGGTTGTTGAGTTGATGCCGCGAGGTGCGGATTAATGTAGGGTGGAGAAACTCAGCCAGGTTTCTTCTATTTATATATGTATTTTTTGTGTATTTTTGTCATTACTTATTTTTGTGTTTATTAAACATTGTTATTGTTATTTTTGCGTCTGTCATTGACTTCAATAATGATTCTCCGCCGCGAGCTTGGTTTCCACGACGATCTTGGGGAGCATTGTACACACGACACGAGGGCCAGTGATGACGAACTGCTCCCGACTTCACCGACGCTTGGTGGTTGTAGGGTGAAGACGGGAGTAGTATCGGTTCACATAAACTTCATAAAATCATCACTGCTTATTCCATTAGTTTCCTACACAGGGCAAAATTAATTCTGTAAATGTTTTGAAGCCTACCATTTTTAGATTTAGTCCAAGGAAAGAAGTTTATATTACTGCAGTCCTTTAACAAACTTCCTAAGGGGGTTTAAAGTGTTGTATGCAGATATAATATTTTTGGAAAATATGCTTCATTTTCTAACGAAGAAACTCCTTTCAGTATTGCTGAGGACATATCAACACACAAGTGCCATACCTTGACACTTTACACTCTGCACTGAGGAAATGAAGGCAGAATGTGCCCTAACCTTTCCATGGGAATGTAATTTAAGAGAACTCAGGGCATGTTGCAATAGCAGTGATGACCTTAATGGTAACAGCAACAACAGTTCTAACAAATTTGTTTATATAATACTTCCACTCACCCTTCTGACCTCGTTTCCTCAACCTTGCTTGCATTGTTGGAGTGTTGGTCTGTAAGTAATTATGCACCACCTCAAAGTCTTGGAATGGTGGGAAGACTGAATCACTAGGCAAGGGTCCTTGTACCAGGAACTTGAGTTTCCTTGAATTGGTCAGTAAGCGGTCACCAGTGTCGATACCAAGTTTCAAACACACACTCTGAAAATAACATGACCATTCTGTACAAGGCTAGCATGTAACTTACTGAAGTATGTGTTCCACCAACAACTGGCAAAAGCAAGCATTTGAAGGTGACAAACCTCAATGGTGGAAAGAAATTGCAATGATGATGAAGGTAATTATAATTATGATAACAGGAAAAGTAAACAGCCGTAAAGCAGTCTTATTATGTCAATCTGTAACTTTTGAGCAATTTTCCTACTCCATTGAATATTCTCATTGTTCTATCTCACTAGAGCACAATTTACATGTTCATTACATTACACAGGATTTCCTGGATCTAAAGTTAGTGAAAATGACTGCAGAATGTGGAATGAGTGAAACAAATACAAAAATATATGTACAGCACAAGTGAAACTGTCACAGAAGAAAACACAAGAAAATATAGTGGTTACACATGAGACTATTCAAAAATACATCCACATACATACATCAATACTGACAAATTAAGTTGTTTACGCAGCCTTTAAATGGATGAGGCATTTTTAGACAATAAGTATTCATCAACTGAGTAGAATGAGTGTGTTTAAGTTCATTTTTAGTGTTGTTCTAAATTGTGCTTTTCATTCAGATGGCCGATTATTGAAAATTTTTATACCAGCATATTATGCACTTTTCTCAAAGCATGAGAGGTTAGCAACTGGTTTATGGAAAGCGTGCTTGTGTCTTGTGTAAACACTGTGTACATCTGCATTGGTCTGAAAATGTTCATTGTTTGTAATGAAATTCATTAATGAAAATATCTATTCACATGGAAAAGTAATGATCTGTAGTCTCTTAAATATATCTCCACAAGAATTACAGGATTTGACACCCATCATGAATCTAACAATTTTCTTTTGCAAGGTAAATACCTTCTTGCTGTCAGATGAAATACCCAAGAAAATTATTCCATACTTCATTAAAGAGTGAAGCAAAATAAATTGATCAGAGAGTGTCAACATCGTACTTCTTTTGGCTTATTTTGGACTTCATCCATCGTCTGGTATGTAAAAGACAAAAGACGATGACATTTCGGAGACTGGATCGGTCTCCGACTTCAGGTGGGTGGGGAAGGATAAACCTACTCAGTTGGGCCCATTAGAAAGAGCTAGTCTCAATCACTGGACCCTCCAAAGACATACAGTATACACCATCGTCAAAATCCTTTCAAGTCTACCAGTGTCAATGTTGCTGATGTGCAACACAGATCTAACTACATAACATGCTCCACTTAGCTTTGAAACCAACTGACTGATATGGTTTTTCCGTTTTAAATGATAATCAATTTGCGAACCAAGGAATTCTGTGCTTACTGCCTCTTCTATATATATAGCATTATAGCCAATGTTTAATGGTTACTGTGGTGAGATTTTTCTTGTAAATTTTATTACATTTGTTTCATCTAGATTCTGGGATAGCTTGTTTGCAGAAAACCATTTACTCATTTGAGGGAGAACTTCGTGTGATAGTATGAAGAAATCACCTAAATTGTTACTAGAAATTATGACACCATTGTCATCAGCATATATTATGGGTACTGATGAGATGTTTAGTGTAGGAGGGAAATCATTTATACAGATTAGGAAAAGCACAGGCCCTAAAACTGACCCCTGGGGAACTACAATTCACTATGGTTACATTACATGAAAACATTTCATCCAAAGCTACGAGTAGGTGCCTTGTTGTTACAATAACATGAACTATTAAATGATTTGCAAATTTTCACTCAACAGAAAGTTTCATAGAAATACTCAGCACAATTCATCATAAATACTTTCATATATTTAACAAAAAGAGTTGATACTGATGCTTTCAATTCCAAAGGGCTGCTAGATCCAGATGACTGCATTACTTCTAAACAACAAAGTTTCATAATGGTATCAGACACATAATTTATATTTATTATCAACAACAAAGATAAATATCTTTTAAGATCTACCATCAGAATCCCATGCACCTAGTTTCAAAGAGCCACTTTAACCTTTCATAAGGAATGATATAAAATTATCTATTTATAAGGGGCAGTCAAATGAAAACAGGTCACCACACATAACTCACACGGCGCAGAAGTTGGTAACACTGGATTTTGCTTAGGGTACGAACATCTGGTGGAGGCGCAGGAAAGCACAGTGACATGCCCTTGCACACGAGTCATTTGTTTATTGTGCTGGAAGTAAGGTTAGCACTACGTGTGGTTGTCCAACATCAGTAATGGAGGCGCATAAAGAAGAACAGCAAAGTGAAGTGCACTTTTTGACTGCTGAAGTAGTAGGAGGACAAGAAATTCATCATCGCATGTCTGTTGTTTACGGCAAACACAGCATGTCATGTTCGCATGTGCTGGCATAGCATAAGAGATTCCGAGAGAGACGTGTGACACTGCAAGATGATGCCCACCCAGAACAGGCTCACTGTGGCATCACTCCTGATGGCATTGCTGCGTTCGATGGTCATATCCGGGCAAACCAACGGATCACTGTGGAAGAAATTAGTCTTTTGATGGGAATAAGTCATGGTTCTGTACACGCCATTGTGATAAAACACCTGCTGTACCACAAAATCTGCTCGCAGTGGGTTCCACATCAACTCACAGAGGAACAGAAGACTCAGAAAATGGCTTCATCACTGGGTTATTTGCAACAATACCTTGAGGAAGAGTATGCTTTTCTGTCCTGTGCTGCCACTGGGGATGAAACTTGGTGCCACCATTTTGAACCCAAGAGCCAATGGCAGAGCCAACAGTGGAAACACGTGAATTATCCCCCACCGAAGAAATCCAAAGCCTTATACACAAGTTCTGGTAAAGTGATGATGACATTCTTCTTTAATTGCAGGGGCCTTCTGCTTGTCGAATTTCTCGAGCATGGGGCCACAATCAGTGCACAGCGCTATGAAGACACTTTGCAGAAACTGAGACGTGCCATAAAGTCAAAACGCCCTGGAATGCTATCGAACGGCATTATCCTTCTTCATGATAATGCGCGCCCCCACACTGCCTACTATATGAGGAATACACTACAGAGATTTGGTTGGGAAGTGCTTCAACATCCCCCCTACAGCCCAGATCTCTCCCGTGTGATTCTCCCATTTTTGGAGACCTGAAGAGAGACATTCGTGGACATCAGTTTGCATTGGACAAAGACATGTGTGGCTGGGTAAAGATGTAATTCTGTAGACAGCCCACAAGCTTTTTCAAGGATGGGATTGACCGTCTTATCTCCCAGTGGGATAAATGTATTAACAGTTTTGGAGATTACTTTTGAGATAAAAAATGTTCTTTAATATGTTTTGGCTTCTGACCCATTTTCATTTGACTGCCCCTCATATATTTGTAATAAAATGTTATGATCAACAGTGCAAATTACACACAGTTAAGCTCATTTAATTTCCTTCAAATCAAACAGTCCAAACTGTCATGAGCATACATGGCTGCCAGTGACTGGTACTCTACATAACCTACCAACAGCCACCTCTGCAACTTTTCTTTGATCCCAAGATTCTGAATGTTAGGCATCATGTGGCATCACTCCCTCCTTCATGTTACTTGTCCTGAGAAGCCTATGCGTGTGCCACCATTTTGCATTTCCTCCATTCTAAGGGGGCCTCCCTGTTACACTTATGATCAACTTGGTGAATGGCACCACAACACCACACTGGCCCCAACACTTGTCCTTCCACTTTCAACACTGTGTGACCTTCACTACATGCAGAAACAAATCCACAATGCCATCAGCTAGTTGATCTGTATTTAAACTGGCACATTCTGCCCACCATGACCCTCAAGGGCACACCTCAGTGTGTTTCTGCCACAAATGGTCTCCAGCCATCCTAATAAGTACCTCCCTCGGGGGTTGGCACAGCATTCTCACCCTGGGCTCTCCAGCTTCGTGGGTGGCCTTGGCACTTCATTCCATTAGGCTATCCACTGCCTCCAGAGGACTTTCCAGTCTCGTCACAACTCTCCCACACCCAGCTGGTACCATACCACCGCTCCCCTTCCCGTGAAAGGAAGAACATGGTCATGCCATGGGGCACCATAACAGGTTTCTTCCTCTCCCAGTCTTGGAACACAGGGCACCAAATCTATGAACACACTGTGGACACGAATTATAATGGATGACTCCAGAATGTTCATGTACTCCCATAAACACCTGGAGGATACATCCACTGTCCATCCTGGCAGATTCAATGCCTTGTCCACATCAGTGTTTAGATTCTCAGGAGACCAGTAAATACAGCACTGGTGAATTTGAAGTTGACTCCATGTCTATGATCTGTGAATCTTCATTCAACTTCCAAACTCATGCCATCATGTGTTACGTACTGTCTCATAGGCAACACCTACCTGACAACATTCAATCATTTCTTTATGCGATAACATCATCTGTCACACACAAGCAACACTAAATATCTTTCTTCCATAAATTATTTAATGAATATTATTTTAAGTTTCTAACTACTTCCTGAAAGCTTATAAGTACATCAAGACATACTACATTCAACTGTGTAGTTAAATTCTAGACCTAAATGAGTTGAGTGACAAATCTGTTTGGGCACTTTTACATTACTACTCATACAATTAATGTAATATACCACTCACAGAAATCATCCTGCAGATTTTTGTTTCAAAATCTGTTGAATTGTCAACCAAATCAAAGTATGGATGCCCCACCCATGCAGCTGCAGCATTGTAGTCCAGTTCTCGTGCTAGTTCCATTCCTTCACTGCGGCAAGCATGGTCCTGAAACACTATTTCTAGAGAAGAAAGCTGCAAGGCACACCAAAAACATGTCCCAGTAAAACATTCATCAGAAGGTTATGACTTAGGTTCTGGTCATCCTGCGCAATGCGATCACTAAGCCAATCTGGTTTACTTACTCCCTCATGGAGCCGAGCCCTTCTTGAGGAGGTGCCAATTCTACAGCTACTCAAGAATTTCCCAGCATTTTATGGAACCCGAAGGTTCATTGCCGTGTTCACTGGTCCATATCCTGAGAAAGTTCAATCAAATCCATACCATCCCAACCTATCTCTCTGAGATCCACCCACCTATGTCTTGGTCTTCCCAGTGGTCTCCTTCCTTCTGGCTTTCCAACCAATATCCTATACGTGTTCCTCTTCTCCCCCATTCATGACACATGCCCTGCCCACCTCATCCTCCTTGACTTGATCATTCTAATTATACTTGGAGAAGAGTACAAGTTATGAAGCTCCTCATTATGCAGTTTTCTCCAACCTCCTGTCACTTCATCTCTCTTTGGTCCATATATTCTCATCAACACCCTGTTCTCAAACTCCCTCAGTCTATGTTCCTCCTTAATGTCAGAGACCAAGTTTCACACCCATACAGAACCAGAGGCAAAATGATAGATTTGTATATTCTAATTTTTATGTTTTTGGACAGCAGACAAGAAGACAAAAGGTTCTGGACTCAATGGTAGCAAGCATTACCTGAGTTCAGTCTCCTCTTAATTTCCTCCTGAATCAGGTTTTCATTTGTTATTGTCGTTCCCAAATATCTGAACTGTGCAACATTTTCAAAACATCTGTTTTCTATCGTTATGTCATGATATTTGCTCTGCATTTTGGTGACGAGAGAGCAACATATGCATAGTTTTCTCTGTGTTTACTTCTAGAACAACCTCCTTACTTGTGTCAATTAAAACTGTTTTTTTTTCTTTATGGTAACTTATATCATCACCCAGTAGATTCACATCATCAGCATGGACCAACAGCTGATGTATCCCGTTTAATTTCAGTCACACCTGGTTTCCCTGGACCTCCCTAATGGTATATTCTAAAGCAAAGTTGAAAAGGAGTGGCGATAAGGCATCTCCTTGTTTTAGACCATTCTGGATAAAAAATTTATCAGACAAATGTTTACCTATATGGACTTTACTACATGTTTTGTTTAAACACATTTTAATTGGCCTAACTAGTTTCATGGGTACCCCAAACTCTATCAGAATACTGTACAATACTTCCCGCCTAACTGAATCATAGCCATTCTGATATAATGCAGAATATAACAGTACATCTGATAAAGCTTTGGCAAGTATGATCTTCCAGGATGTGACACAGTGAACTGTGGTAGAAGTTCACTGACACTTTGCAGGAAAGGTACTGTCCCATCTTCAGGGTTAGAGACTAAGCATAACTTGCTGCTTGCTGGGCTTACTCATTAACTATGAAGATGGAAGCAGTACATTCCTCCAAATTCCCAGTGAAATTCTATCATATTTCTTTGCATCATATCCCAGAAGACGATAATTCTTCACAGTTGTTACCATTAAAATCTCAAATGTAACATGATACAGCTTTCTTCACTATGACAACAGAGTATATACACATATGTAAACAATACCAAGGAAACATGCAGGAAATGGAAAGCTTAGTTCATAATTAAATGATTCCTGTGTTAATAATGATCAAACAGTTTATGTAACAAAGAGCCAGTTCATATAACAATACTGCTGAGATAAAAGCTATGCACTTTGCTCACAGAAGCATTTTAACTAGCCAGCATAATTTTTAATTATTTTGCTCATAATCTGGTCTCATGGAACAATTTAATCCACACCCTACAATTCGGTTTTTAATAACCAGAAAATCCTGCTCTGATCTTTTGCATGATGATGCACATCTTACAATACATCTGATGCTTCCATCTCAGGACTGTCCTTCACTTAAGTCTTATTCACACTTAAAAAAAAAACATTTCCCTTGAGTGTTTCTTCACAGAAGATGTTCCAGAAAACTCTTGTTGGAGATTGCCATCAATACTGCACAACTCTATTTATCACAACTATGCTTTTCTTTATTTTATTTATGACTAACAATGGGTATGCCTAGACCACTGGTAAGCCATCAAGTGGCACCTCCACTGGCATTACCACAAACGTGTTGCAACTGATGCTGCAAGGTTATTACACTATTTTATTATAAAGGTATTTGCTTAACATAGCTGCCAGTAACAGAATGGTACAATGAATAGTTAATAATGAATTAGAGAGGCTGTGAAAGGATGCAGTTATAGTGTAAACTGAGGGCCTTGCATTTGCGTCGGGGGACTCAAGACCACAGGATAGCCAATGTCTGGGCAAAGATCTGAACCAGGCACCTCCTGAATGTAAGTGAGATGATGCGTTGAATGTATTAACTGTGTCAAAATTCAGATACATTGATAATACTTATTATACTGTAATATATGAATTCATATAAAGTGCAATTCAATAGTTTGAAAATGTTTGTTAATGTGTACCGCCTGATGATGGCTTTATAAGCCGAAACACGTAGCACACTGTTATACTATTAAGACTAATAAACTCATTATACACAGTCAACGTGAATGAGATTTTGATAGTAGTTGTGCTGAGACAGAAAACAGCAATGAAGTTTAAGTGAGAAGCGTTTTTTCTATTGTTGGTGGGGTGGGACTAAGTCCCTTGTACTGCAGCCACTTCTGCCCTATTGCACCAGCCCCATAGGCTAGGTGAAGGTGATTGTCGAGTAATTTGGTGGAATGAAGATTGGCAGGGGAAACCGAAGTACTCAGAGAAAACCTGCCCCAGTGCCACTTTGTCCACCACAAATCCCACTTGACCAGACCCAGGATAAAACCCGGGCCACCGCAGTGGGAAGCCAGCGACTAACCACTTGAGCTATGGCGCGGCCATGAGAAGTGTTACACTTGAGCCAACTTGCTCAGTACAATTATGAATCACTGTTCTAAAGCATTAGTTTACAAATACCGTCCCTCTGTTCATGTACTTCAATGTGTTTGATTTCCTGTTTGCCCACAATTTTACTGCTAGAAACAGAACCACATTCAGGATGCCTCCCCCCACACACACACACACACACACACACACACACACACACACACATAAGCAACAACCAACAGAAGACGAGCATACAATGTATTATCTTTTTATGGTTTATTTCATGACATCTTTATGAGCTCAAAAGACATACTGTCAAATGACAGGGTGATTAGTGAATAAAGATGCCCCCCCCCACGAAGTTCGTACACAAAGGCACAACACATATGTACAAGAACATGCAGACAAAAATGGTACACACTACCATATAAAGTTCATTATCATGTTCACAGGAGCCCTACACTGGAATCTACTCTCAGTCAGCTGAACCCAGTCAACACTCTTATCACTCTATCTATTTAGGATCCATTTTAATATTATACTTCCACCCATGCCTAGATTTACTGAGTGGTCTCTTACCTTCTGGTCTCCAACTAACATATTTCTGGCATTTATAATTACCCTATTCAAGACATATATCATACCCATCACCCACTCCAGATCAATAATTATGAAGTTTCTAATTATGTACGAGAATTATTTGTCTGATGTATGATCTAATCAAGTAATTATGGAGCACTGTCTCATATAATCCATATTCCTATCCATAATACATACCTCTGTAGTATAGAAATCTTCAGCTCCATTTGCAGCAGACACCATGTGAATGATTTGGTTGTAGCGATTGTCCCTCAGTTCCACTGAATTCCAGCCATTAGCACCCATCATCCGTTCCCATTTTTCACAGGAAATAACTGAAAAAATCATTCAACTGCCCTTCAAAAATTCTACATATGTAGAGATTCTCACAAAGATGAAGAAATGATTTAATCAAGCTGAACACAACAATCGCCAAAGACATCAGGCATCTCGTTTCCTTAAAATCATCATGCGTTTAAATGCTGATGACAGTAATTTTTAAAATATGTTGATAATGATATGGTGAATGACAACCCATTTAAAGCCCAGCAGTTAATACATGTAACACCTGCTTTAACATACTAAGGTCTACGTTCTTCCTTCACAGTGTATTTGTCTGCTTTATATGGTTCTTAAAGTAAACAAATATTTTCTTCCGAAACAGCACTAAGCAGTTGGGCTTTGTACTGGATATGTAATGCGTTTCCTGTGAGGTATGAAATGGATATGCCGGTCACGGTAGCCGAGCGGTCTAAGGCATGCACTGTCTTCGCTCGCTCGGAAGCCGGAATCGTGGGTTCGAATCCTATTCAGGGCATGGATGTTTGTGTGCGTTTTTCTGTGTTTGTCTACAGGTAGAGGCCTTGCGACGAGCTGATCACTCGCCCAAGGAGTCCTACCGTATGTGTAAGATCTAGAAAACCGAAGTGAACGGAGCTCATGGAGGTAGGCCTAGGCCCACTGGGGCTGTAGTGCCAAGAAAAAAATGAAATGGATGTATGTCATTTTAAATAAATTCACCATGTAGACCTATGCTATATGTGTGATACATACACTTCACATCATACGATACAAACCCATCCTCTCATCAAAGATGATTCATAAGGACTATGACTGCAAGGGTTCAGTTGTCAATAAAAAGTCTCTGATCATGTTCCTCAAGGGACTTGGGGCCAAGACAAACTGACTGGCAGTAAACCGCCAGTCGTAAAGTAACTCTGACCCTCACTCAGTCTTTAAAGGGTTAACAGATCATTTCTGCAGTACGGTCTCAAGGTTTTGTAAATATGTGGATATATGTGCACACACACACAAACATTTGCCCATTAATGCAAAAAATCTGGAATTATGTAACTATTACTCATTAATTGCATATACATACATCACACCTATTATCTGACAATGAAAAATACATACATGCAGATGCATCCATCGTTCCTCTATCACAGATGATAAGACAGTCTCGCGTGCATGATTCTCCAAGAGCAAAAAACGTGTTTTCAATCTGCAGCATCGTTTTCAGCAGATTTTCTTGAAACTTGTAGGCTGAGGAAGAGAGAAGTATCTTAAGATTCACATCCATAATTACTGGAAATTTTTCTGTGCATCACAGAACCAACACTAGCAGTTTTCCACACACTCCACCCTTAGCTCAAACCAGGATATGCCATTAAGTCATGAAAAGGAAACATCTGCTCCAATCAATACGTAGAACTGCCGTTGGAAGCCTTCAGTCTTACTGTGGGTCTTGGAATTTATTTTCAGTTGTTTACCATCCACCATGCTACAATATAAAAACTCAAAATTAAATCCATCTCAAATTCATCACTGCACTATGTTTCGGCTTACTCTGCCATTATTAGGGGCACTGAAAGTCAGGGAAACTGCTGTGCCTTCCATGCTACTAAGATCGGTATATTCGTATTTACAATATTTTAAAATCAAGTCAGTGCAGTTCCTCCTTTCATGGCACACTAAATGTCTTTTTGGTATGCCTTTTGCTTATCAGGTGTGAATGTTAAAAGGATTTACTTTTAAACTTTGATACTGTTGCATGGTGGATAGTAAACAACAGAAAATAAATTCTAATACAAACTGCTACAGGAAGTGAAGATACAACATTGTTGTGTGCCACTTCTACTGATTCAATTTAGTAAGAAATACAAATTTATAAAAGATACTCAGCATTATCATGGGACAAAGACATAGATAATATTTCAGATGCTGTATTTAACTTCATATTTAGGTAGGAGGAAAGAGTATCTATGCTGCTTGCTTGGTGCACTCTTCGACCCTGAAGATGGAAGCTCTAAATACCTCAAAAGAACTGGTGCACTTCTACTTGACTCTATGGTGGAACATAAAGGAGACAGTAATCTTCTAAAGGTTTGTGTCCATGGTACATTGATACAAGTATTATGTCTTTTGGCATTATCCATCATCCTGTCTATTTTCTAAAACAATAAACAGGACAGTTTTTTAGAAAATAGACAGGACGATGGGTAATGTCCAACTTGTGACAGTAATCGTCTTGAAATTAAACCTGCTGTATGAGGTTCATTTGATAAAGTTTATCCTTTATGCTACTTCTACATGGAAATGGTAAGAGAGTAAGCTTCAGAAGATGGAAAGAAAGTCTCAGAAATACACATACATTTTGTTATACACACAATAGACAAGGCCCATAGAAAACATTTCAAAGATGATACTAGACCATTATCATTATCAGATATTCAATATTAGCTAATGAACTACTGTACATACAGACTGTCAAAATTGATGATCATTTCCTTTAGATTCACATACAGGATTTTCATGACAGGACTTCTTAACTTTTTGGCTTTCCTTTTTTTTCATTTTCTAGGATAATTCATCCTGATATTCTTACGCTTGCTTAAAGTAATGCTGGAAGTTCAGTTTCACAGCATTCATTGTGAAGATGACATCCTACACTAGAGAACAGAGGGTGTTCATTGTGAAAACATTTTTAACTGTGAAAGTATTCGTCACTCCAAAGAAATTTCTGATATCATTTTTGTGTTCATGACACTTCTTCAATGGACTGTAATTTGATACAATACTGTATTACTTCGAATACAAGGCACTCTCAAATTTAAGATGCATCCAGTTTTTGAATGTAGGTTCTAGGGACAAAATTAGAAAGGTGCGCATTCCTTGAATTTCAGACGCCCCTCAATTCTTCAACAGAAATATGTAAAATATATCTTATATTTGAAGTCATATGGTAATTTTAAGAAACTGGTTCTGTGTTAGATGATCTCAAAGGTGTTGGTGGATGTACATGAACACTAAAAATTTATTAACTGTGTCGAAGAAGTGGTTCAAGGAAGTCCTAGGGAGGCAATTCCTTGTCTCTCTCAACAGCTTGGCATTATTATCACAACAATACTAAAAACTGTCAGACACAATTTAAATGATTCCCTACAAGATACAGAATTTTCCAGCATTGAGTGACCATGAGAAGGATCATCAGACAGATCTTTGAAAACCATCTACTGCGTTCACTGTAGCAAATCCTGGTTTTCTGAACATGTGATTTAGAGATAAGGGCCAATTTTATTTCAGTGGAATTTTCAACAGACAGAAATACTGAAGTGGGAAACAGAATATCCAAACCTCCGTGAAGACGCTCCAATTCATCCAGAAAGTGTACAATTTGAAGATCTGCTGTTAGTCTTGTTCCTAGAGGATAACGTGAATTCTGAACACCATAGGACAATTCTAGAAAATTATTTTGAATTGTTTCATTTTGGTCCGTTCCACTATCAATCACAAAGTTAATAGAAAGTCCGTCAAGTGTAACAATTTGTAGGTCCCTCTTTATTATTATTTCTGCCTTACATGTTTCGGTTTGACACAACCATCATCAGAGGCACTTGCTATAATTATGGAAACACTGTCGCTTTTTTGATGTTCACAATTATGTTTGTTGTGTGGACGCTGCTACGATATATCGACGTGTAAAAGCACAAAACATGCTACGATAGTTGAGTACACTTCTCACTTTTCATCCGAACCTACTTTTAAGTTAAAACGCTAAAATGTTAAAATATTTTGCAGTATTC